CGTCCTCCTCGCTCTCGTTCGCCGCCAACGGCCAAGAGTTCACCGATTTGGACCTGGACGAACTGCACACACGGGCGGGAGACTATGTGAGCGTGGCGATGACAACAGCCTTCGTGTGTTTATCTGAAAATCTTACATCGTTGTTGGTTTAGGGTTGTGTGTACCAGGCTGCTACCTTGCACTCTGCGTGCTTGAAACCAACCCAACGTTTTTTCCCCCAACCGCACCCAACGATTTGTTCACCCTACCGTTATCGTTCGGTCTCACAAGCTTGCTGAGTGTTCGCTCCGCGTTTCGCTTTTGTTCCCTCGATGACGAAAGGTCGAAAATGCGAAGCTTACCTTGGGGCTGGCGGGCGTAAGGACGAGCAACCACATGTGGCTTCACTTCGCCGACAGCATCAAACCACACGGTAGGGAGATTCAACGATATATATTGGGATGTTACCATTGAAGGCCAGCAGTGTTTCAGCCTGTCCTAAGTATTTGTGTGTGTATAATTCATATGACTATGGCAGCACTGCGTGAGAGGCACGAATCGAGCACGTGGGGGATCAAAGGGTACCTAGATTGTGGGCGACTTCTTTTGGCAAACTCTTCGTCTTGGCCTCTTGTCTGCATCACCGCCACCTCATTTTTTGGTCGACATCGACGTGGGTGCTAGCCCGCAACTTTTGTTGTGTCCCTGAACGCTCTCAGAGCAACCATATCTCTCTCGTTAGAAGAACGCGCCGGGGTCGCTCTTGTTTGTTCCTAGCCCTCGTTCCCTAACCGCTGCTGTTGGGTTGGTGCTATATGATCGCGATGTTGTGGTGGTGTAGCGTCGACGTCTTGCTTTGCAGGGTGAACAATAACCATGTGAGCTCATAGCAACATGTGTGCTGCTCCCCTTGCCAATTTCGAATACGTCTTAACGATAACCTCGACTGACTGTCGGGGGCACGAAAAGGAGTCGTAGCTTATGGTGCTCAGATAAATTCAGCTCATCTACACAACACTGGTTTTCGAACCATTTCATCATGCCAGCAACATTCGTCGACCGTACATGCACTTCTATCTCATGCGTTCCACAGACCGTTGCTCTTATGTTTATTCTTGTCGCTCGCTGCTAGAATAAGGTACAAAAAGGTACGCCAAGTTGTCTCTGTTGCCCTAAGAACGCTGCCACCTCTCCCTCGTCTGCCCTTTCCCATCAGGGCGCCCTCAGAATGCAGACGTCAGCGAGGGAGGACACCAACACCACAAGAAACACAACAAGTCAGGTAGCTCACGAGACCCGCCGGCACACCACGCGAGGAGTACGAATGCCAAGCTGGCGCTCATGAGGTTGGCTACAACCGAGACTTACACAGCAACCCGGTACTCCTACTCCAAAAAGACTAAGATTACCGAGACGGTGACCTCTGGGCCCGGTTGCCAGCGCGTCCTACAGGCCCTCGACGACAGCCTCTCGGGAGGGATAACGAACGTTGTCGATGGCACCGAGGGCACGAAACCGACGGCAGCAATGTTGGCGGGGCAGCCCCATGGCTCAGCCACTTGGCGTGCGACAATCCTGCGTCAAGATGCCGCGCCCGACGACGTCGGAACCGGATCAACAGGCGGTGGGGGGCCGAGGGAGGCGTGGGAAGCGTGTTTGAGCGAAGGTGCCGTACGTCCCAGCGCGGGGGCCATCCTGAACGCCAATACCCTGTGGTATGCCTGCGGCCGCTCCGACGGTGACGGCCGTGACGTCTGTAAAGAGCTGAGGTGCTCGTCCTGCTGGGAGGGGGAGGGAAGAGTCTGAAAAATGACGACATTATCTGCTATCGGATCAAGCACGGCGTGCCTGCTGAGATCAGCAGCGGGCTGGGGCGGTTCAAGGGGGGCGACGTGAAGGCCGCAACCGCGGGCGGGGCAACCCCGCGCCACTGGGCGGTGGGCAGCGGGCAAGGAGACGCTGTAGAAATCTTTACGAACCATAAGGCCAAGAGGGACGACCTGAGCGGTGACGGTCATGTCACGTTGGCAAGGATCTTGTACTTCTTCGACCACAAGGGCAACAGACGCCCTGACTCCACCCCTGACGCGGGCCCTGACTCCGCGATGGAGTTTGTCCTCGCGTACGAGTTCGTCACTTGTGGGTCTGGACGGTCCAAGAAAGCAGATTCCGTCACACAGCACCCCACCTACTGGCTGCAGCGAGGGGTTAAGCAGGTTCCGTCAGTCTACCCGATTGAAGCCATTCGCAGGCATGTCATGATGTACCACCACTGCCCGGGGTCGAGCTTCGCCACCGGGGTCAGTCACACTCCAGCGCCCGACTCTTGCGGACTTCACGATGATCACAGAGCTAGAGGGGGGGGGAAGGTTTGGAAGCACCACTACAGGCTAGCACCGGCCAATCCCTCCGGGCCACGGGACGCGTACATCCTGAAGGAGCACTGGCGGAGTTCTTTTCAGGACGGTGTTGTCTGAGACAAGATGTGGGCTAGTCAGAGGTCAGGTAGGACGTCGTTTCGCTTGGGGTTTGGTACGACAGTACCTGACTGTTTGCGCCTATTTCGAACACATTTTGATAGTCCAGTAGTGGTCTTTGACGTGGGTGGGTCGGGTTGCTTGTGTGGGAAAAATACCCCATTAGCATCCTTCGAGCTCGTCCCCCTCGTGTCATTGACACATCTCCCTAAAAAACCTGGTCGCTATTACAGCAAGCTAGACAAGCCCCCGCGTGTATATCTTTTCTCTCTCGTTCTTTCGCCCCCCCCCCCCCCCGGTGGGTTGGGTTTTCGTTGCTTGGCAACGATGTTGTAACAGAACAGCGCGGGGGTAGCCCCGGCCTCAACTGAAGCCTTTTCTCTCTCTTTATTCCCTCCGGGGCGATGTTGTAAAACAAGCCGATCACTTCGTGAGCTCGGCAACCTGGTCACCGTTTTTTTTTTTTTGCGGTAACCATGAATGGTGGTCGAGCAGATCATGTTGTGCGGGGTCGAGAACCCTCACTCCGCGCAAAGGGGATATTCGCACCACGCTGTGTTCATTTGGTCAAGCACCCTCGAGGCAGTTACACAGTGCTTACAACTGTCTCCGGAGGTGAAA